ACTACCCAAGCGGATAGAGTTCCATTTGACAGGCTACACAATGTACCACTGCAAGTGCACCAAATGTCAAGGTATCGCAACCCTCATTCGGAATGACATCACCGCTGAGGTTTCTCCCCAGAAACCGATGACGAGACTGACATGCAGGAAGTGAATGTGCAGCAGTCGGATGGAACAACCTTCTACAATGTATACTGCCCACCGTGAACTACTCTCCAGCTCAACTTCCCGAATACAGACCACAAACATACCATTCTAGCGGGAGATTTCAATGGACACTCTCCACTGTGGGGTTACAGTGATACAGATTCGACTGGAACAGTTCTAGAAAAACTACTGAGATCAAGTAACCTCATCTCACTTCAGAATGACAAGACACCTCCCACCCTACTTCATAGAGCCAGCGGAACTCTCAGCAGACCAGACTTAACCTTGGTCTCTACTGACCTTTACCCGCACTGCTCCATGACTGTCCTAGATGACATAGGAAGTGATCACCGCCCAATCCTACTGCAAATATCCAGCAACAGGAAACGAGAACCGACCAACCCCATAAGACGCAGTTGGAACTACAAGAAAGCAAAGTGAGAGCTCTACCAACAGAAATCCTAAAGTAGACTCCTGGATATATGCACGACCAACCCAATTGATGAGTGCTACAAGGACATCACCACAGCTCTAAAGACATCCGCTAAGGAAGCGATTCCAAGAGGGAACTCTAAGAAGTTCCGCCCTTATTGGGACAAAGAAATGGAACAACTGACCAAGGCCAGAAAGAAAGCCAGACGGCGTGCTGAGAAGAACCCAACAGCCGAAAACAGAAAGCACTACAACTACCTGACTGCCAAAGTAAAGCTGAAGACCAAAAGTGCGCAAAGACAAACATGGAGAGAACACTGTGGAGAACTAGACCTGCGTAAGGACGGGAGGAAAGCCTGGAACCTGCTAACCAATCTCTCAGGCACAAAAAGAAGGAAAAACCCCGCCCCAATGAAACCAACTGAGAAAGAAGAAACATGCAGAGCTGAGGTTATGAATTAATACTTTGCTAGCATCAACAAGATAGGAAACAAAAACAAACTGAGCCACACAATAAAGCAGCTAAATTAAAAGGGCAGGACAGACCCCCAGGCAAACCTGAAGGTGTTTGAGAAGAAGTTTACTCTGACGGAATTGGAGGCAGCCATCAAAAAGTGTAAAAAGAGAAAGGCCCCAGGACCAGACCACGTCACCAATGAGATGATCCTCAACCTGACAGACTCTTCTCTTTCCATACTCCTGGGCTTCTACAACAGGACCTGGAATGAGGGACAGCTCCCAACAGAATGGAAGAAAGCAAACATCACACCGATATTAAAGAAGGACAAGCCAGCAAGCCAGCCTTCAAGCTACAGACCAATCTCTTTAACATCATGCCTGGGTAAGGTCGTCGAGAGAATGGTCAACGACAGACTGTACTGTTGGATGGAAAGCACCGGAACAACCAGCACATCACAGGTAGGATTCAGGAAAGGCAAAAGAACTATGGACCACCTCATCAGATTTGCCCAGAAGACCAGCGATGCCTTTCAAGATAAAGACAATGCTGTGGCCGTCTTCATCGACCTGAGGCAGACGTATGACCGTGTGTGGAGACAGGGACTGTTCTACAAAATGCAAAAGCTTGGGATAGCAGGAAGGATGTACAGCTGGATCAAGAACTTTCTGTCTTGCAGAACTATCCAGACGTCATGTAACAGCAAGACTTTTTCACAGAGGACACTTGAGGAAGGCCTCCCACAGGGGTCAGCACTCAGCTGTACCCTCTTTCTGTTGTTTATGAACGACTTACCAGATGTCATTTCCTGCCAGAAAGCACTATACGCTGACGATTTACTCATATGGAGCAAAGGAAGTGACATGAGAGCACTGAACCAAGCCATCAACGCAGACCTAACTACTATCTCGTCCTACTGCCAGCTATGGAAGATGGAGATCAACACAGACAAGACTGTTTTTGGACTCTTCAGCATCAAAAACAAAGTTACAGCAAGTCAGGTAAACCTTTAGATCAATGGAACCACCATCAGACATGAGGACTATCCCAAGAACCTTGGTGTACTACTGGACCGAAAGCTGTCTCTCAAAGAGCGCTTAGGGGAGCTGACCAAGAAAGCCACCTCCAGACTAAACCTCCTGAAACACCTTTCATCACTCAACTGAGGAGCTGACAAAGCAACTCTCCGACAACTTTACATAGGGTATGTCAGATCTGTGATTGACTACTCCCTACCACTACAATCCATAGCCAGCCAAAGCTCCCTGGCATAGCTTGACAGAGTACAGATAGCCAGCCAAAGCTCCCTGGCACAGCTTGACAGAGTACAGAACCAAGCACTCAGATTTGTTTCTGGCACAATGAAGACCACGCCTACAAGCGCCTGCGAAATCCACACCAACATAGAACCACTGGACCTCAGAAGAAAGAGTGCTACACTCGAAACCTATGAAAAATTTGTGCGGCTAGAAGACTCGAATGAAAACAGGAAAATGGCAGATGAGTGGGAACCAAGAACACGCATCCAGAAGACCTCCTTTATGCGAGAAGCAACAAAACTACTTGAGGAGTTTGACCCACCCAAGAACAGAGAACCAATCACCAACATCAGCAGCGAACCTCCATATTGGCAGACACCAGAAATCACAATAAGGAAGAGACTTCTAGGGGCCTTCTTGTGATAAGACCACACCAGATGAAATCCTCAGAACTAGCGCCCTGGAGACAATGGACTCGTATGCTGAAACTCCAATCCATGCACACACAGATGGGTCAGCAACAAACGCTACACGGAATGCTGGATACGGATCTACCATCAAATATCGAAACAACCCTGGAGAGAAGAAGCAGACCCAACTATTTGGCCCATGTGGAACATACAGCTCCAACTATGACGCAGAGAGAATCGCCATAATAAAGACCCTGGAGCAGATCACCCAAGACTTTTTTGAAGGCGCAGTAACACCAGGGGATGTTGTTGTCTTCTCTGACTCAATGTCAGTACTCCAAGCCGTTGAGGGAGGAGGAGACTACAG